AGTAGATGAAAGGTAATATTAGAGAAGGTAACAGCAGCTGGGGACCCAGGAAAGACCTTAGTGGAGCTTGAATTTTGTCCTGAAGAAAGCCTGGGATTTTAAAAGGGCAAAGCAAGGAGGAAGAACATTAGAGGCATGGGGAAAGCCATTTTAAAGGCTCATAGATGAGAATTATGTGTGTGAGGACAGCAAGTATGGCTGGATTGTAAAGTACGTAGAGAAGAGTAATGTACAAGTAAAGAAAAGTAGGGGCCAAGCCATGAAGAGATTTAAATGTCAAAGAAGTTTATCTTTGATCCTAGAGGTCATGAGAAGCCATTAGATTTATTGAGTAGAGATATGCCAGGCATTGTGTTATAGCTGGGGATACGAAAAGACAAAAGACAGTCCTTGCCCTCATGGAGCTTACAATTTAATGGGGGAGAAAACAGGCGGTATGTGGAACATAGACTGAAATAAGGAAAGACATGAGGCAAGAAATCTCTTTAGAAAACTATTGCAACAAATATGAAGTAGAGCCAAGAAAACAATATACAACAATATAAATGGAAAGGGAAAAAAAATCAAAAGTGAGTGATGTCTTATTAAAAACTAGCAATGGCTCAGAAGAAGAGATATGTAAGACACTCTCATCTCACCCTTTTGCAGAGGTAGGAGGTCCACAAATGTAGGATATTGAAAATATTTTTAGACTTTTTTGATATATTGATCAGCTGTGGATTTTTCCTTCTTTTTCTTTTTTTTCTTTAAAACATATTTATTATATGGGATGACTCTCTGGGAGGGGGAATGATACTGGAAGAAACTATAATGATGTTTTAAAAAATATATCAAGAAATATTATTTAAAAAATAAAACTACTGTAATAGTTCAAGTGAGAGGTTGTGTGTGGGGGGGTTTGAACTAAGGTTGTGGCTGTATGAGTAAAGAGCAGATGTTTGGAAGAAGAAATTATAAGATTTTTGTCCCTTGCCAAAAAAAAATCCCCCAAATCCACAAACCCTCTAATTGCTTTTTATTTGTATGTGTTTTTGTGTGTATGGATCAGTGGTTTACCTTACCTTGTCATTTTAGAACAATCTTGAATTTCCAGTTTTTAGTTTTTGTGTACAGAAGGTGATTAGGAGATCAACTTGACAAGCTTACACCAAGGTGAACTCTCACCATAGGATCACCAGCTTATGGAAGCGACATCATAGGTTTTCTACTCCAACTTCCTCATTTTACAAATGAGAAAATCAAAACTTAGAAAGGTAAAGGGACTTGCCTACATCACACTGAGAATAAATAGGAGAGACTGGATTTGAATGAAGCTGTTCTGACTCTTTCAACTGTACTGTGTTGTCCCCACATGGAACTTCATAGCATTTCACAATGAAGGTGTGGGCATTATCTATGGAAAACTTTCTGGAAAGGATTAAGGACATTTCCGGGGCATCAGATATGACTTGTTCGGTCAGGTGGTTGCAGCTAGGCGCCACCCTTTTGAGCTGACCTATAAAAGGATGTCATAGCCTCTGGGTTTTGGTGGAATTTTTTTTTAATTGCCTTTTTCCCTTTCCTGAGCACCAATCAGAGACCACAGATTTGAGAGTAGACTTTGGTCCCTGGCAGATACCTGTGCATTATCGGCACAGGCCACCCCAAGGGACAAATGAGTAATCCCCACTAAGTCCCAGAGATTCAGCCCAAGAGATTTTAGAACTGGGACAGAGAATTCCTAGACCAAGACCCTTGAATGGACCCAGCTCTGAAAAAGCAGTGGCAGACGCAAACATGTTCTCAGTCATGCAGCAGTGATGGAAAGGGGAACTGAGGTCCAAAATGGTGAGAGTCCCTAAACCACAGCCTCCTGGAGTGGGGGAGGGGGAGGGGAGGATGGAATTCCACTTCCTAGGCAGTGCAATCCAAGAATTCAGCCTTCTAGCAAAAGAAGAACAGTTTCTTGGGTAGAACTAGCCTCAGAGGTTGCCTTTCTCTAGCAATCTCAAAATTTAAGAGTTCCAGGATCTAACTTGTACCTTTTAGACCGAGAAGGGGTATATATGGGCAATGACAACCTTCAATCAATCAGCAAACATTTATTAAGTATAGTACAATGCAAGGCAATGCACTGGAGATAGAAATACAAACTGAGAAACACATTCTACTGGGGTGGGGATTGGGGGTAGAGAGATATACAGAAGGATGAGAATATGCAGAATAGATACAAAATGAATACACCATGATAGGGAAATGGAGGATTAACAACTGGGAGAATCAGAAAAGGCCTTTTGAAGGAGGTGACACTTATATTGAACCTTGAAGGGAGTCAGGGGTGTCAAGAGGAAGAAGTGAGAAGGAAAGCCTTCTAGGAATTGCAGAAAGCTCATGCAAAACCATAGAGGCAAGAGAGAACGATGAACAGAAAATATCAAGTAAGCCAGTTTGGATGGACTCTATAGAGTATGTCATGGGGAATAAAGTGTAATAGTTTTTAAAAGATATGCTGGACTAGGAAACAACTAACTGGGGAAAATTTTTTGTTAGCAAATATCTTTGATAAAGGTCTCATTTCCAAGATTTATAAGGAACTAATTCAAATTCATAAGACCCATTCTCCAACTGATAAATGATCAGAGAAGATAGGAATAGGCAGCTTTCTAAGGAAGAAATTCAAGCTGTCAATATCCACATGAAAAAATGCTCCAAATCACTAATAATTAGAGAAATGCATTTGCAATAGTTTTCTAAAGAGATTCCTTGCCTCATGGCTTTATTTATGTCTTTCCTCATGTCTATGCTCCACACACTGCCTGTTTTCACCCCCACTAGATTGTATGCTCCTTGAGGGCAGGAACTATCTTTTGCCTTTGTTTGTATCCCTAACACTTAGCACAGTGCCTGGCATATATTAGTTATTTAGAAGCAACTCTGAGGTTCTACTTCACATCTATCAGTTTGGCAAAGTTGACAAAAAAGAAAAGTGACAAATGTTAGAGGGGCTCTGAAAACAGACACATTAATGTGTTGTTGGTGCAGGGGTGAATTGGTCCAGCCATTCTGGAAAGCAGTTCGGAACTATGCCCCCCAAACTAACTAAATTGTGCATACCCTTTGACCTAGTAAAACTATTACTAAATTTATGCTACAGCGTAATCAAAGAAAGAAAAAAAGGAGTCATATGCACAAAAATACAGCAGCTTTTTTTTGTCATTGCAAAGACCTAGATGCAAAGAAAGTGCCATCAGCTAGAAAATTACTGAATTAATTATGGCATATAAATGTAATGGGGAACTATTGTAATGTAAGAAATGACAAAAGGGATAGGTTCAGAGAAATTGGGGAAGACTTGTACTACAATGATAGAAAGTGAAATGAGTAGAAGTAGGAGAACAATTTATTCAACTAGAACATGGTAAAGACAAACAACTTTGAAAGACTGAAGATCTCTTGATCAAAGCAGTGAGTAACCATGATTCCACAGGACTGAAGATGATCTATGTTACCTACTTCCTGACAAAGAGGTGATGGAATCAAAAAGTGGAACAAAACGTACATTTTTTTTGACATGGACATTGTCGGAATTTGTTTTGCTTGACTATGCATGTTTATTACAAGGGTTTTTTTTTCTTTAAGATTGGAGAGAATTGATGCTCTCCAAAAAGAAATGCTTGTTAATTGAAAAATAAAGATATACTAATGCTGTAAGATTTATGAAAGAGATGATTTTTGAGAAACCTTGGAAAACACATGAAGTGATGCAGAATGAAAGTAACAGGACCAGGAGAATAATTTATACAATAACAACATCAGAAAAGCAAAGAATTTTGAAATACTTAAGAATTCTGATTAATGGAAAGAACAATTGTGATTCCAAGGAATTGATGCTGAGGTATATGTAGCAAATCCACTCGCTCTCTGAGAGCTAGGCTGGCCGCATCTCCCCTTCAGGGTTCTAGGGATACCCCTGATGGGTAAGGGTATCTTTCTCTAATGCAGTGGGCTTGAGCCCACTTCCAGGTGGTTTCCCCCCTCCATTAGACATTGATTAGTTTCCCAGTTCCCACTGACTAGCTTTCCAATTCCATTTAGCCAACTAACATCAATTGGCTTTTACAAAGGGATATTTCTTAAAGGATATGGTCACTGAACATTTAAGTGACTTGATAATGCCTCAACCCACATCTTCCTGACTGAGTGGCCAACTTCCATTTTGGGGGGAAAATGAGGGAGGAAATGGTATTAAGTCATTTGCCCGGGGTCACACAGCTAGTAAGTGTCTGAGGCTGATCTTTTGCTTCAATTCTTACCTAGCTTTTGTTGCTTCAGACAAACTGAGACCTGGGAAAGACTTTAGCTTAAAAAGGCCAAGGTCTTCCACTGCATCCAGGGCCATCTCCAGGCACCCTGACTTATGTCTTACCACTGGATTCAGATGACTTTGGAGGAGAGAGTGAGGCTGATGAGTTTGCACAGCCCTACCTCACTTCAATCCAGTTCATTTGTAAGTCAAGAAATCACCTTCCTGATGTCATTGGTCCTCTTCGAGAACGAAGAACAACAGCAATTTATTTGACCGTAACTTTGTATTTTTTCTAATTCTCCCTTTTACCCAACTCTTCAAACTCATTCTCTGTCCTCACCACAGTCTCTTGTTTTTTCTGTCAGATAGACCAATATATACATTGTTACATTTAGTGCTTGCACAGAGGCTGAGGACCTTTTTACCCGTGAAAACCTAGACATGAGCTAGATTTAAGCAGTTTTCTAAGATTTTCCACAGGCTCTGGATGAGAGCAAAATAAGCCAGACAGGGTGATCCAAAGGGCTGCCTGGTCCGTATAAACAAAAGTCCACAGGTGCTGAATAAGTAATTAACTGGAGATAGCAAAGAGATTACTGGCTGATCGTCCTGCAGCAGCAACAGTCTTCTTTCCTTCCTCTCTCCCTCCCCCCTCCCCCCACGGCACTGAACTTTGAACTTTGAACTTTCTTTATTTGCTTAACTCTCCTGAAAGACCCGCTGATATGCAGCTGGACTCCATTGAACTAGCCTGGACAGTCAGAATGGCGGGTTCCCTTTGGATGCTGCAGTTCTGTTTCCTTACCTTCTCTCTCCATCAGTCAGAGCAGTCAGGTAGGATGTTTGATTCTACTGTATTACTATCTTCCTTTGCCTTTCTGCTGATGGCTTTTTTGAGACAACCCAGAAGCAGATCTGAAAGGTGGTGACTTTTTTTTTTCGGGGAGCAAATTAGTCAGGACACTGTCTTTTTTCATTGCTAGAAGGATCCTTTCTCTCCCCTTTCCCCTTCTACATCAATTTCACTGAAATCCCCTTTTAAAGTCTGTGAAACAAAATTATCTGGAATCCTATCTAATGGTAGCCTAAGCAATGTAAAAATCATATTTTTCTTTACAACCTGCCATTTTCCCCTCTCTCCCAAATGGTCTAAGAGACTTTCTCATCTAAGCATTTATAATTATTGGACTTATCTGAGCCTATGATCAGAGATAAGTGTACTTTTCTGCAATAACAAAATAAAGAAGAGAAGCAAATGAAAAGAAGAAAGGAGAGGCCGATATATTCACAGTCGATTTATTAACTTTGAAAAGCAAACAAGAGAAATAAGGTCTTATGTTCACCAAAAGGATTAAATATTTTCAATAAATCAAGTGATTAGAATCTCATTTGAAATAAAATGATACTGATTATAACAGCAATATTCTAGATTGCAAATCTCTGATTATACATTTCATGTTTACCAAGAAATTAAATATATCTATATTTCACAGAAAATACAATTATAGGATGTTAGAAGTAAAAACTAAATCAGAAAATCTAAAAAAAAAGATAATCATTAAGGAAAACACTTAAAAATATACAAAAGAGTAAAGAAGGAAATTCAGAAGAATACACAGACAAGCTTTATTACTATCTTGTTAAATTAAATGAGTATATTTAAAACCTATATGTTAAGAGAAGTGCATAGCTTCATATATACAATCTATTTTTCAGTTTTTGTTTATTGAAATGTCAATGCTTGTTTAATTCATAATAAAAGGGATAAATTTTCAAATAATAGATCTAGCCCAGACCCCTTATCTTACAGATGTGAAAACTGAGGCCCACTTTGAAAAGAAAGTATAAAAAATAAAGGTATGCTAATCATACTAAATTACAAAAATGGTTTCAAAGAAAAATTTTATGAGACTTTCCCCAGGTCACAAAGCTAGTTAGTGCCAGAGTCAGGACCTTTTTGGTATTTTTAATTCATATCATATTTTAGTACAGATTCACCTTTCTTTAGTGGAAAAATGAACTTAAATGAAAGGAAAAGGTATTTGCATTAGCACAAATGTCAATTAGTTCTGGGATTTTCTTTTATTTTCAAAATATCCAGACATTCTGGACTTTTTTGAAAAGTGGAGATCTAACGATTCTTGAATGATCTCTGGGTGTTGACCTCATTTCCTTTCTTGCCCTGCTTTCCAGTATTTTGGCCGGCTTCTAAGGCAAATGAAGTTATAGTAAGAACGAAGCGTGCCAGATCCTTTATTTTGGAGGAGATTTTAGAGGGGAATTTGGAAAGAGAATGCTTTGAAGAAAAATGTGTTTATGAAGAAGCAAGGGAAGTCTTTGAAAACAATGAAAAGACTGTATGTACTACTTTTTTCCCCATTTCTAATCATTTTACCTTTTGCTATCTTGCAGAAATTTCATATGTCAAAGGAACAAAATGTAATTAGTCATACATTTTAGAAGGGACAACACTTCCTTCCACTACTTCAACAAATTATCAGGTGAATTAATCTAGGAACTGTGCTTGAGACCCTAACTTTTAATTAGGTCAACCACAGAAATCACACTTAACATAAATGCATATAGAGAGTGCAAGGCCAACTGTGCTCCAGTGTTCCAGCGATGTTTCTTCCAAACTTGGCAAGTTAGCAGCATCAGTTAGCTTTAGACATCATGCATAGCAAGAGATTTTCCCTTGCTAAGCTAGAAATTAATATGTTTAACAGAAAGGCCTACTTGTCTCAAAAAGGTCAACCCATTTTTGAGAACAAAATAACCTTTCTTAGGACTAGACTCCTACATAAAAATTTCACCATGATTTACTATTTGGATTAGTTATATTGCTTGACACATGTGACCAGGTATGCATTGGAGGTAGTCCAAGTCAGGGGCATATCCATTTTAAACAACTCCCTAGTTCACTGGAAGTTAGCTCAATTAGGGTATAAGGTGAGAACATTTCTGGTTCTTAATGGTAAAATATTTAATTTACATTTTGCATTTTTACTACATTACAGTCCTGAGAAAATTATTTTAATAGTTCATTTTGAGTAAAGGTTTCCATCTGTGACTACAAAGTTTGCTTTAACAATTTTCCAAGCGTTCTGACCCCCTTACACGTCCATACGCTGTGAACTCATCTGAAGTTGGCTGTGTTCACTTGTGGTTTTAAGAAATTTATAGTGTACTGCTCTGATTTCCCTTGGAAGGGGCCCCATATATTTGCAACTCGTATTTCCTATCAAGATTTCATAAGGCAGAGGCAAGAACAAGCCATTGGTGTGTCCACCAATGAACACGTGTCTCTGTGTTCTAAAACTGTGTTCCATGCCTTGTGCTATTCTCTGGAGGTTTTCTGGCTTTCCTATAATTCAGATAACTTGATTTATTACCAAAATACACCCCAAAAACAAAAAGCAAAAGCAAAAACAAACCAAAAAACTACATACCGTACAGAGTGGAATTCTCTGGCATTCAAATTATGTGTATTTTTTTAAAAGTGTCAGTTAACCCTAGTTATCAGTCTACCTTTTTTCCTCAGCTCCTTCTATCTATCAATCAACAAGCTTTTATTAAGGACCCACTGTGTTAGGTCCTGGAGATACAAAGACAAAATGAATTGGTCCCTGCCCAAAAGGGGCCAAGGGAGATGGCATGTGTGTGTGTGTGTGTGTGTGTGTGTGTGTGTGTATGTGACACACACACCACACCACATCATACCATACCACACACATACAAACACGTCAAGCAATAAACATTTATTAAACGCCTTACTTTGTGTCAGGTACTAAGTAGGGGAAGGGACCTTAATGTCAGTATTCAGAGCAAGATGAAACTTTGTGGTTGTTTTTATACCATTAAATCACTGCTAAACTCTAAAGAAACAATTGCATGTGCAAACCTCAATCAGACTTCCTGAAGAACTTTGCTGTCACTGAAGAGCTAGGAACAAACTTCTTTTAAAAGAATTTAACATATGCAGAACCTTAAGCAAATAGGATCAGAGATGTAAAAGGAGGAATGTAGTGGTAAATGTTTAACAACATGCCCGGACTCAGGAAGACTCATCTTCCTGAGTTCAGATCGGGCCTCAAACACTTACTAGCTGGGTGACCCTGGACAAGTCACATAACCCTCTTTACCTCAGTTTCCTCATCTGTAAAATGAGCTGGAGAAGGAAATGGCAAACCGCCTCCAAATATTTGCCAGGAAAACCCCAAATGTGGTCACAAAAGTCAGACACATCTGAAAAACAACTGAACAACAATAACAGGTTGGGGGGGGTGGCGGGGAATGTACCCACATGCTTTTACATTTAATCTGCATTATTAACACTTTTTCAAATTCAATCAATAGCCCCCATGCATAGCATTTGACATCAAGCACTCGTGATGAAAACATAAAGATGGTCTCCTAGCAGGGGTTAGAACTGGATGCGGTATATCCTTCTATAGAAAGAATTTCGAGATGACTTAACCCCTTCATTTCATGGGGGACCTGAGGTTTGAAATGGGGTAGAGTGACTCAGATTGACTCATTAGAAGGCTAAACGCTTAGACTACGGGCCCACTCCCCAACTTCATTTTTTATTTTTTAATTGATTTATTTTTAAATCATTTTAATTTCTATATATGTCCCACCCTCACCCAGAGTCATTCCTTCTAACAAAGGTTTTTAAAAGAAACACAGGAATAAAGCGGTTCACCATAACTAATATCAACATATTAACTAAGTCACATAGTATACACAATATTCCACACCCAGAGTCTTCCACTTCAGTAGCTTAAAACAACAAGAACAACAAAAACACCACTATCACTTTTCTTTGAGGTGTCTTGGTATTTCTCTTTCCCTATCCCTCTTGGTTGTTGCTAGGATACTAATAAAAGGAACAAATTATGTTTGGCTGCTTCACAGCTAAATTTGAGAATATCTCTGGTGATTTTTCATAATTTAAAATTTTTTCAGATGGCAGTTGATAGCTTGTATTTTTTCCCTTGAAAACTGTTCATATACTTGAGTGAATCTCTTGATCAAATATATGTGTACCAGTTCCCTATAGAGTTTGAAGGTCTAACTTTTATTGAAGATATTTATTGTAAATATTTTTCTTTTCCTTTTTTTTTTAAAGGCAATTGGGGGGTTAAGTGACTTGCCCAGGGTCACACAGCTAGTGTCAAGTGTTTGGTTTGAGGCTGGATTTGAACTCAGGTCCTTCTGACTTCAGGGCCAGTGCTCTATCCACTGCACCACCTAGCTGCCCCGGGTCTCCAGTTTTAATGGGGATAATAGCCTGGTTATATACAAGCCAGTGCCTCCCTTCTTCCATCAGACATAAAGGAAAAAGGAAGTCTCAGATGCCATGAATGAAAGAGAATAAGCCTTGGAGTTAGGAGAGTCCTGGGTCCAAATCCCACTCCCAGCACTTAATAGTGGGGTAACTTAATTACCAACCATTTAACCTTCCTGAGCCTGTCTTTCATCTGTAAAATGGGAACAATAATATCTATGGTACCTACCTCACAGGGTTATCGTGAAAATAAAATGAGGCAATATATGTGTATCTAAATCTATATTTAAATACTTTGTAAATCTTAAAGCACTATGCAGCTATTATTATTATTTGTGTTAGAAATATACTTTTAAATGCAGTATGAATCAAGGAATCAGACTATGTAGACTGGTTTAATCTAATGTCTATACTGTCTTCAGATCTTTAACCATGTCTTGCCAACAAATGTGCTTACTACATACCAGGCCTCATGGTTTGGATATTTTTAAAAATTAGTTTGCTCTTTTCCATGAGTCTTAGCTGGTGATAAAGTAAATAAAAATAAACATCCTCTTCTCCTTATTTGGCACATTTTGGCACATATTTGCCATTCAACCTGGGCAAGTAAAGGAGTGTTATTTTCTAAGACTATCTTAAATTGTCAGTAGTACCTGTCTTCACATGCTTAATTCCGCACTAACTGACCCTACCTTCAAAAACTCCCCTTATAGATTAAATGAGAGAACCAGACTTTTATCTTTTTAAATAGCACAGTACCTGCCTTTCAGAGCTGAAGTCCTGTAGTTTTAGCTGAATTTCACACCCATGTTATACCTTCCCTGGAGGACATTCAGAATCTGCTCAGTGACTTCTGAATTAGACCCTACTCTTTTACGTGGCTGTTGTTCAGTTGTGAATGACTCTTCTTGACCCCGTTGGGAGTTTTCTTGGCAAAGATACTGGAGTGGTTTGCCATTTCCTTCCCCAGCTCATTTTACAGATGAGGCAACTAAAGCAAAGAGGGCTAAGTGACTTGCCCAGGGTTACACAGCTAGGAAGTGTCTGGGGCCAGATTACAACTCAGGTCTCCTTGACTCCAGTCCTGGCACTCTATCCATTTCACCCCTAGCTGCCTGACAGCAGCCATGCAGGAGTAAGTGCACTTAAGATAGTTGTACGATATCCTCTATTGTACAACAGCTAGTGGTATATGCAAGTTATCACCCCTAACAGATTATAAACTGCTTGAGGATAGGCATTTATCTTTGCATCTCCCTTAAACATCTTGAACATATGATTCTTGCAAATCATGACCCCGGAAGGTCCTCCAAGGAATGATTATTTCCTCCCCTTCAAACTAGCCTCAGCAGCCTAGGAAAATAGGAATTTGACCATCCTGCTGGAGAAGCTAGCTCATACCTGCCTAAGGCAACAGACCCAAAGGAGGATGAATAATTACAGAATTAGTTCTTAAAATATTGTACTGATCTGTTGCCAGGCAGCAAATTGAACAAATATTAATTCAACAAACATTAGTTAAGCACCTAATGTCTGCAAACAGCAGTGCTAGCTACTATTTATTGAGTTGGGTTCTCCCAGTCACAAGAGGGCGGCTGAGACAAAGTAATTGTGTATGCCCACCAAAGAGTCCTGGCTCCTGAGCTATATGGCCTGGCATAAGAAACAAAATTGGGGGAGGAGGTGGTAGGGAGCCCAAGACTTGCCAGATTCCCTTGAAGCTCACCTTTCCAAAGGACGATTTTCACCATCGTTTTAGTTGCTTTGTGAAGATGCGTATAATAGCTATGATTCTTTAAAGACAATGAGACATAAGGCTGTTAGCCACTTGAAAAATCGAAGAGGGTGTAGAGGTAGCTCTCTTCTTGTCTATACCATATTGTCTCTACCTCCATCCCTTGCTGAATGTAGGAAACTAGACTCATTCCAAACTAGTAGTGTAAGGGGTAGCTGGGTGGTGCGGTGGATAGAACATGGGCCCCTGGAGTCAGGAGGACCTGAGGTCAAATTTAGCTTTGGACACATAACACTTACTAGCTGTGTGACCCTGGGCATGTCACTCAACCCCATTACCTAGCAAAAAAACCAAACAAACCCCAAAACAGAAAAAACCAACTAGCAGTGTACTGGGCAGTGGTCAGCTGGAGAGGCAAGCACCAAAGATTTGTAGTCTTCATGAAACTAAGATGTTTGGCTGAACAATGAAAGCTTCAATCATTCCAATTTTTAAAACTATGATGTTAAACGTTCATTTTCACGGCTGCATTTCAAAACATCCAGATGAATGCCAAAAATTAATCCTACTTTTGTCATCCTAGTATTTTGGCACACGTTTCAATAAATATTTTAATAAATAAATAAATGCTTTGATGAAAGGGATAATTGAAGGGGGAAACTGCTGTTTTAAATATTTGGTTTTTTTTTTTGTCTTACAGCACGCATTTTGGAGCCAATATATGGGTAGGTGGCTTTGATCTGTCTTGTCGACTTTTACTTGAATCATAGAATTTTAGAACTAAAAAGGAACTGTAGGGGATCCAGCTCCCTTACTTCAGAGATAAAGAAAGTGAGTCCCAAACAAGTGAAGTGATTTAACTCAGGTCACTCATTGCGATCTTTCCATTAATAACTCACTGCCTCTATTGTGTTTTTGAGCGCATTATTCCTCAGTTCATCCCCAGGTTGACCACAAGGTTTTTGATCAAAGTAGTTCTTGAGCATCACCTACAAAATTACAGACAATGTTCAGTCTGTTATTAATGGAAGGAACTTCTTCCCATACTGAGGAAATTACTGAGCTTTGAACAATTAAACCAAAGAGTTGTGTAAGCATTTAGTTCTTAAATTGAGTTCTGGAATTCTCTAATGACTTCTTGGATTCCCACACATAATGCTGATGCTGTTGAAATATATTCTTCAAAATAACTAGCATCAAAAAGTTCACACCCGTTCTTACATCTTTTAAAACCTTAGAGAAATGACTTAAGAGGAGACAGTCAAGCCATGTAGGTGGTAGATTACCTGTGACAAGTTAATAGATTCATCACCAACACTGGTCACAGTGGTAGAACATAATGAATCTTGTGTCGTGGATGGGGTCCTAAGGAAGCCCAGTTATTTATTAATAATGAAGCCTCCAAATTGGTGTCATCAGAGAGACAGAGAGAGAGAATACTTATAGGCTAAGAGTTAAGTCTAGGGCAACTGGTCTCATAGGTTCTCTTTTTGTTCTTTCCTCTCCCCTGCATCGCCTCTCCCTGAGGAGGTTTTGTATTTAGGAGTTTCAATCTAGGAAAGAAGTATGGAGTCAAAAAGCAAAGGAGGAATTTTTAAAATGAAGAAGAGAAAAAAAGAAAGAAGAATGTAATGCAAGCTCTTTGAGGGCAGGGTCTATCTTTTTGTCTTCACATCCATAGTATCTGGAAGTATACAGAGTAAAATTTTTTGTGTGAATAAGATATAGTTAGTGTATTTTTTCCTCAGACTCAAAGTGGAAGTAATTTTTTTAAACATATATTGACCAGAAGAGTACATTTGGGTTTTTTTTTTCAAAAGAATCAGTCTCTTATAAAATCTCCTGCAATTTATGTAATCCCAAAAGGGTGGAGTCTAAGTTATGAATAGGAGGGCTAGTATCAATTCAATTAAACAACTCTTTATTATAATCTAACCAGTGAAGGCCCCCATCACCTCATGCCTTGATTGGGTGGGTCTGCCTGCCTCAAGTTTGTCTGTACTCTAATTCATCCAGAGCAAATTCTTGATAAATGTTTGTTGAATTGAATTTAGAAAACATGAAACATACTAATGAATGCCATTAGGGGTTAATAAAGCAAGGGGCAAAAAAGGGGAAAATTCAAGATTTTAATATTTCAATTTTCTCATCTGTAAAGTGGGATGGGGGTGGAGGGAGGGTGTCTAATTAGATAGCTATGAAGGTCCCTTCCATTTCTAAAACTATGATCCTGTGTCTGGTTAACTACCCCTCACCTCTAGTTCTATTATATTCTTTGACTTGATGTCCTCTGGTTGTCTTACTAATTGAAAGAACCTCATCCAGAGAGTGGATAGAATGGGAGGCCAAGAGTCAAAACTTAAGCTTGCCAAGGTTGCCAATTTTTAAAAACTCTCATTAAAGTATTGTCTAAGGCAGAGGTGGAGACTAAAATGAAGTGGAAATAATACCCTTTGTTACAGATAATAACATTCCATAAATGTTTTGCAGTTCTTAAATCCTGTTGTATTTCATTAATGAGGTGTTTCTACAGCTGGCACTCCATGTATCTCCCAACCCTGCCTGAACAATGGAATATGTCAGGATTACATCCGAAACTACATTTGCAGCTGCCTCGAAGGGTATGAGGGAACGAATTGTGAATATGGTAAGAGACAAGGCTGTGATTTAATTTTGTTCCTTTCATGAAATTTTCAGGCATACTCTCACGTCACATGCAATTCACTCCCTTTCCTCTCCTCATTCTCTTCCTGTCATAGGTCTTTTTTTTTTCTGGTCAGAAGCTGTGATTTGATCCTTGTGGGGACCTCCAAGTGTAGAAAATCTCTGCTATTGTAGATGGGCTGCTCATCTGCAACTTAATAAATGGGCCTAATGTTCATTTTGTAACAAAACCAAAGGGGTTCCTCCTCTAGTGACATCTAGGATTTTTGGATGTCACTTTGAATAATAAGCAGAAGTGAATACTTATTATATAGAATCCTCAGTACTCTATATACTATATATATATAATTTATAGAGTATAAGATTATTGAGTATCTATAAATATTGTATAAAGGGGGGGAGTATTATTGCTATTTTTAGATGGAGAAAGGGCCAAAAGTATCAATAAAATATAGACATAACCCATATAACCTTGCCTCTACCAATATTATTTCATAATAACATTACATTAATAGATTATCAAACCTCATCATAAATGACATTGGCTGAGAGCCAGAGGTACCAACTGGATGGCTGGTCATAATACAAGCTTGTACTTAAGTTCTACCAGCTCCAACTCCTGTTTCTGCGCTAAATTGGGTGTATATACATTGTCTATTAACTGTCTCCTGTAATATCTTTCATAATTATTACTTCTGCTACTACTACTAGTAATAGCTAGCATTTTTATAATAGCCTTTTAGAGTCTGGAAAGTGTTTTTACAAATATTATCACATTAGATCCTCACAACAACCCTGTTGTTGTCATTGAGTCATTTCAGTTGTGTCCAGCTCTTCATGACCCCATTTGAGGTTTTCTTGGCAAAGATACTAGAGTGGCTTGCCATTTCTTTCTCCAGCTCATTTTACAAATGAGAAAACTGAGGCAAAGAAGGTTAAGTGACTTGTCCAGGGTCCCACAGCTAGTAGGTGTCTAAGATTGGATTTTAATTCAGGTTTTCCTGACTCCAGGCCCAGTACTCTATTTACTATGCCACCTAACTACCATCACCTAGCATAACATTTTTTCTTTTTTTTAATTAATTTATTTTGATTTACCAACAATCACTTCCATATACTTTTGAGTTTAAAATTTTTCTCCCCCTTCATCCCCACCACCCTCCCCAAGATGGCACACAATCTGATACAGGCTTTACATATACATTCCTATTAAACATATTTTCACATTAGTGATGTTGTAAGAATTAGAACCAATAGGAGGAACCACCAGAAAGAGGAAACAAAACTCAACAGAAGAAAAAAAATAGCAAATAATATGTTTCGATCTGCATTCAAACTCCATAGTTCTTTCTTTGGATATGGATAGCATTTTCCATCACGAGGCCTTTGGAGATGTCTTAGATCCTTGTATTGCTGGGAAGGGTTAAGTTTATCAATATTAGTCATCAAACAACGTGGCTGTTATTGTGTACAGCATTCTCTTGGTTCTGCTCACTTCACTCAGCAGTAGTTCATACAAGTCTTTCCAGGTTTTTCTGAAATCAGCCTGCTCATCATTTCTTATAGCACAATAGTATTCCATTACATTCATATACCACAACTTGCTCAGCCATTCCCCAGTTAATAGGCATCCTCTCAATTTCCAATTCTTTGCCACCACAAAGGTGGTGAGAGGTAGTGTTCTGTAGTGGATAGAAGGCTGGCTTTGGAAACAGGAAATTCTGGACTTAAGACCTGACTCTGACATATACTGTCCTTTTGGGCCATGGACAAATCTCCTAAACCCTCAGCGCACCAGGTAATTCTCTAGAAGGTAAGATTAGAGGGTACAAACCAGTTGCTGATCAGCCTCTGTGGAGGGAGTTTCAATCGGGGAGTTTCCCATACAAATAAAATCACAGGTCTGAACAACAGCAAAAAAGCTTACATGTTACTTAACAGAAAGGTTTTCTTATTGATAGACTTACTTATTGACACTAATCTGTGAAGGGGATGGCAAGGAGGTTGTGCAGCGCATAGAAATGCTGACCTTGGATTCAAAAAAACTTGAGTTCAAATCGTGTTTTGGGGCATCCTAGGCAAGTTATTTAACCTCTCTCAAGCTCATTTTCTCATTCATTAAGTGTTATTATTGTTTATTGCTGTTGTTGCCTGTATCCAACTTTCTATGACCTGTGGACCATACTGTTGATGGAGTTTTCTTGGTAAAGATACTGGAGTGGTGTGCCATTTCCTTCACCAGCTGATTCTACAAATGAGGAAACTGAGACAACAGGATTAGGTGATCTACCCAGAGTTAGAGAACTAGTAAGTGCCTGAGGCCAGATTTTAACTCAGGTCTTGGTGACTCCAGGCCCAGTGATTTGCTGATCCAACTACTCTCCACTTCTTCGTAAAATAGGGATCATAATAGCACTTACTTCTCAGGGTCGTTATTATCATCAAATGAGATAACCTATGTAGAGCACTTTGCAAACCTTAAAGTGCTTATATAAATATTAGCTGTCATTGTTATTGAAGGAAAAGATCTTGGGATCATGTAATGATGTAGCTGAAAGATACCTCAGAGCTCCAACCTCCTCATCTTCAGAGGCAAAAACTTAGGTCCAGAGAACTCAAATGTTTTGTCCAAAGTTATACAACTAATCGATAGTCAAGTCAGAACTAGAACCTGGGTCTTCTGACTCCCTGCCATGTACCTTTCTGCTAGAGAGCATTGTCTGTGGTGTTAGTATGTGTGCATGAAAAATTTTTTTGCTTTAGATTTAGACTTCTAATTATAGAGCATAAACCATATTCTGTTTGAGCTGAATAGCACTTGAGACATCATCTAATCCAGCCTCTTCATTTTTGGCTGAGGAAACTTAGTGATAATAAAATGAGTTTGCCTTCCTTGGATTTACACTGAGAAATGGTTAAGTGGGTAACTTTGGAGGGCAGCTAGTAAGTGTCTGAGGCCAGTTTTGAACTAAGGTCTTCTTGACTTTAAAGCCTGGTGCTCTATCCCTTGACCTACCTATGACTCACTTTAGTGACTATGCTGTTTGGTCTGGCAGAATTAAAAAGAGAAAAATGACTGAAAGGTGCCTATGTTCCCCATGATCTAAGTCATTCCCTTGTAATAGGCCAGCTTGGGGAGGCACATAAACTTTTAAGCCACTTTAACCCCATCTGCATTAAACAGGGCTGTGGAGGAGGGGGACTTAAGAAGTTCAGGAACCAGCATCCTTTCCCTGACCTCCTGCTATCAGTAGAACCAATCACTAATGAAAATAGTGCTTAGTGGGGTAGATAGGCATTATAAAGAAAGAAAATGAAGCAAAAGAAATGTAGGAAAGAAAAAAACAGCCTCTGCTTTTAGCATATGGAAATAGGAGACGCAGCAAGCCTGCTGCTAGCGTTGTTGCTGCCAGACAGAGGTTCTTGATCTTCAGCTATGAATCCGATTCTTTAAAAAGTGCATTATGATAATTGCATTTCAATATCACTGGCAGAGAGGCAATAAGCATCAATTAAGCTCTTAATATATGGAAGGCACTATCATAAACACTGCGGGTACAAGTGTATGTAAAAAAAAAGTCCCTGCCCACTAGGAGCTTACACTGTACTGGGGGATATAGTACATAAAAAGGGGTGAGTAGGGTTATAAAAGCGTTGCCTCACTGCAGAGAGAGCCCTGTTGAAGTTAGATAACAATTCATCATGTATCTAATCAGCGCAATTGCCTGATTTCCTCAAGCTCCATTCTGATGCATCTGAGTAGGAGTAAAGAAATACAGATGGCGGAGGCAATTCAAGGCTGGATTTTAGCAAGAGTTAAGCAGCAACAGGATAAGCGTATGAGAGTACAGAACAGGGTTATGGTGAATTGGTTAACTATGGGGTCAGTATTGGGAAGGGAGAAAAGAAAAGTCATAGAAGAGCAGTAAGTACTCAGAGGGTGGAGGGATAGGAGGTTGCTTTGAGGGTGAGGAATAGGGAAGAGATGAAATGTTAGGAGGGTATAGTCAGACAGAAGATTCTCAGACTTTTTGATCAAAGAAGTGGGTAATGGTGAGACTCGTCCTGAATAGCTGAGGTAGAATGTAATGGTACCTGAGGAGATGAAGAACTGGGAGGTTAGGTATTACAATTGCTAATCCCTAAGGGAACTCAGAGCAGAAGCAAAGCAGGAGCTTAACATCATACATTTCCTATTAGAGAACAAGATTCCTTGACAAGATGAAAACAATTTTATTGAGAGCTATATTAAGACAAAATTATCTTTTTTTTTTCCCTAGGCAATGGGGATAAGTGACTTGCCCAGGGTCACACAGCTAGTAAGTGTAAAGTGTCTGAGGCCAGATTTGAACTCACATCTTCCTGACTCCAGGACCAGTGCTCTATCCACTGTGTCACCTAGCTGCCCCACAAAGTTATTATCTTTACAATAAAATTGCTAATAAACAGACAGAATTGATACAATAGAACAATTAATAATAATGATGAGTATTAGCATGTTCATCAGGATATCTTTTAGCACATTTTCCTTGTTTTGGATATTAGCCTCTGTTCATAGATTATAAACCTGCATAAGATATAAGGTAAATTATTTTTCATTATGAATGGGCAGATGAGTAATATATTTTAGTAATCTGACCCTCTTAGAAAGGAGAGCTGCTTTGACATAAGGTTTTTCTGTACCATTTACAATGAATACAGTGGGAGTACTTGCAGTTAAATAAAGGTCACTCTGAATGCAGCATGAAGGCAGAGTAAACAGCTTGTCTTTGTATGAAAGAAAAGAAATTATCTTATGTAACACTAGTGGGTGTCATTGTGAAGGGTAGAGGCGGCCAGGTGGTACTTGATTCTTTCTGTTCTGCCTCACTTCTAAAAGTAGAGCTGTACATTCCCAAGCCTTGCCTGCCTTTTCCCTGGACATTGGCTTAAGGCATGATCTTTCCTTTGATTGCTCTCCTCTTTTCCGAGCTTTCTTTGTCTCAGGAGATTTAAACAGCTACACCCTAGTACAACAACTAGCTTGCTTTTAGCCTAAACATTTTTTTTAATGTAAATCTTTTAGTTTTTTGAAGTTTAGAAAAATTTTTTAAGTTAAAAAAAATTTTTAACTTTTAAAGTATCTGGAGACAATTTGAGGATCCTCAGGTTTTCAAAGTCTCTTTCCCTATTATTTTATAGAGTACATATCAGATGAAAAAAATTAATATAATAGCTCAGAGCCCCCAGTTAGGAAAATTTTTTAAAATTCATAGAGATTTGGTTCTCTGCTCTAATTCAAAATTTGTGTATTTCAAGCTAGATCCTCCTCTTTTCCCAGAATAAACTAAGTACACAATACAAGACTTTACTCCTAAACCTGACTTTTTTATACATGAAGCAAAATTAAGATACAAGTAATGCTCAAGTAAAAGCAGTGAAAAGAGTGTACGATAGCACCAGTAACAGGAAAGGGCAAGTTGGGGAAAGTAGATTTTTTGGAACTTTCTCATCAGCTGCTTTGCTCTAAGATGCCAGCAGGGACCTTTTAATCCATCTCAATTGCTTGCTTTTCTCCTACATGTAGCTTAGGTTTCCTTTCTTTCTTTCTTGACTGTCCTAGTGCTGTCCCAGTTCACTTTAAGTCCCAGAAGGACTGAGGATGCCTTCTTACTCACTGCTACTCTTGCTCAGCTCATGCCATCCTTACTCCTTCCTTTCAATCTGTTCTTTTGCATAAAGTGTGCAATTTTTAAAAAATCCTGGATGTGACTCAAATCCACCTTCTGGCTCAAAGACTGCGATAGTCCAAATCACATTCCAGACTAAGAGGAAATGTATATCCTTCTGAACCACAAATATCACAATGCCAGTCAGTCCTCATGCCTCTATTACACTTATTCATGTTATACATCTTGTTCAGTATGTTGCCGAGTCACTGTGACCTCAGTTATAAAATGGGAGGATTGGACAGATGGTCTCTAAGGTTCCTTCTTGATATAAACATTATATGACTATGACCTAAATTCAGGGCAGAGTGTTGTAGTAGATAGATAGGCTGCCTTGGAGTCAAAAAGGGATCTGTGTTTCATGTCCTGATTCGGACACGTAATGGCCATGTGACTATGGGCAAATCACTTAACCTCTCAGAGCGCCGTGCACCAGTTTGAAAACATAAATTGCAGAGCAATTGCTGATATGCATTGACAGAGAGGATTTCCTTCCTGGGAATCCCCTCTGCCGATGAAATTGTAGATCTGAACCAAAAAAGATTATTTGAGTAATGGCTCATGCAAAGAAAGGTCATTGAATGTAGCTCATTCTTCATTTTTTTAAGAAGTCTCTTACTTGATTATCCATCTCTTGAAAGTCTATGATTTTTATTCATTTATGACTTTTCTTTTGGATGGAGACCACGTCAAAGGGATGGGAGAAAATTAGCAACTGAATTCAGTTTTGCAGATGTTTATATAATCCTAAATGAATTGAGTACGCAAGGTTCGAAAGGGCAGATGAAGGTATACATCTGCACTTTGGGATTTGTAGTTAAAATACAGAAATTAAGATTCTTTGCCATTTTAGGAGAGGATAAATGGACTATTTACCTAAGCTTAGTATTATTATTGCTTATTAGTTACTATGATTGCTATTATTACAAATAATCTGGTTAGTTATTATTTTATTACTAAAATTCTTTTTAGGCAGCTAGGTGGCACAGTGGATAGAGTTCTGGGCCTAGAGTCAGGAGGACAAGTCTTCCTGAGTTCAAATCTGACCTCAAAGTCTTATTAGCTGTGTGACCTTTGACAAATCACCCCTGTTTGCCTCAGTTCCCTCATCTGTAAAATGAGCTGGAGAAGGAAACAGAAAACCACTCCAGTATCTTTGTCAAGAAAACCCCAATTAGGGACAGCTAAGTGGCTCAATGGATAGAGCACGGGCCCTGGAGTCAGGAGGACCTACATTCAAATCTGGCCTCAGACACGTGATACTCGCTAGCCATGTGACCCTGGGCAAGTCACTTAACCTCAATTGCCTCGCCAAAGAAAACAGAAAACCCCAAATGGAGCCACAAAGAGCAGGACACAAATGGAAATGATTGAACAAACAACAAAAGATTATTTTCAGCCTGCTTGACCTTTCAGTAGCATTAAAGAGAGAATTTCCATACTGTTCCATGTACTTTTGGCTTGATATGACATTAGGAAGTGTGGTAGGGTAGAAAGAGCATGGACCATGTGCTCAAATCTCAGCTGTGCCATTTACTTACTAGTTGTGTGCCTGGCCAAGTCACTGATACTTCCTAAACCTCAGTTTTCTTATCTGAAAAATGGGGATAATAATACTTGCACTATCTTCCTTAGTGTTAGTGTGAGGAAAGTGTTTTATAAATCCTGAGTGTTATATAAATGTTAGCTACTTCAAAAACAATTGGGGAATTTTAATAATGACAGCTGGCATTTATATTGTGCCTTAAGGTTGCATAGTGCTCTACGTATGTTATCTCATTTGATTATCACTACTATCCTGTGAAATAGGTGCTACAATTATCCCCATTCTGTAGGTGAGGAAATGGAGCTGAGAGAGGTTCAATGACTTGTCCAGGGCCATAAAACTAGGAAGTGTCTAAGAACAGGTTTGAACTCAGGTCTTTCTGACTTCCTGATTCCAGGTAAAGAACTTTTTTTCACCACACCACCTATATTATTGTATACTGGAATAGGCGAAAAGAAAGGTTTAGGAATCCTAATCCTTGGAAATCTCTTTTCCCTAGAATAGCGGTCTAGACCAAAAAATATTGAATATCTTCCCAATGATTTAACTCTCCCAATATTTCTGTTAAAAGTATGTTATACTAATCTATATTAAATTGCTTGCCTTCTCAATGAGGGGAGGGGGGAGAGAGGAAGGAAGAGAATTTGCAATTCAAAAATTTTTTTAAATGAATGTTAAAAATTATTTTTTTAAGTAATTTGGAAAAATAACATAAAAATTTTCACTTAGAAGTATATTATAGGGGGCAGCTAGGTGGCACAGTGGATAGAGCACCGGCCCTGGAGTCAGGAGGACCTGAGTTCAAAAACAGTCTCAAACCAGACACTTGACACTCACTAGCTGTGTGACCCTGGGCAAGTCACTTAACCCCATTGCCTAGCCCCCCCCCAAAAAAAAGTATATTATAGTTGATTTTTATGTAGTTCTCTGTGTCATAAAAATTTTTATGTGAAGAAACAATGGGAAAATATTAGAACCTCAAATCTGAGAAAATGGGCATAAGGAAGTTATAAATGAGATTGTTTTTCCACACTCATATTAATGTTTGTGATTTTTCCTTTTCAGCTAAAAATGAATGTCATTCCAAGAGAAGTAAAGGATGTGACCACTTTTGTCGTCCAGGGCAGGAATTTTATATGTGCAGTTGTGCAAAGGGTTATAAACTTGGAAAGGATCACAGATCATGTATTCCAAATGGTAAGAGACAAGACTTCAGTGTTACAGGTCAGACCAGAGTGTCAAACATGCAGTCCACAGGCCACATACAGCCCACAACACTCCAAAGTATGGTTTAAACCAGATTAAAATGTAATTGGGAAATATTTAACAAAATAAATAAAAATATAATAAAACACATAACATTCCATTTTAAAATTAAGTCAATATGTGATTTATAGTGATCTTTATGCACATTTTTATTTGAGTTTGACACCACTGGGTTAGACAATATCTCATCTATATGTGTCAAGATTCTTCCCTTCTATCTTATAAATGGTGATCTAAAGGTCATGAAGGTTGGCCCATTTCATTGTAATGAAGAATTGTCCTTCCTCATACCCAAACATTAATCAGCAAACTTCAGCTTCATGATGGAAAAAAAAGGGTAATGTCCACCAAACTCTATTGATTATTATGTGATCGATTATTATATTATTATAATTATATTTGTTGTGTGACATTATATTTTATTACACTATATTTTATGTAAACTGCAAACTCCTTGAAGTTTTATGACGAATGTTGTCTAGATCCTACAAAGGAATGAATCAAAACTAGCATTAGATTTTAGATATTAATAAATGTTTCATATCAACATAAGAAGGATTTACCTTTGACCCAGATTTCAATGACTTTCTCCATGTTCTTCTTATTGAAGAGAAGTGTGCATGTGGAATCCTCAGTTCTAAAAGTAATGTGACATTGACAGATGCCAAGCTGACTCTCCAAAATTTTCCATGGCAGGTAATGGAAACCTATCCTTAATAAACAGTCCAGATTCTGGGTGTAGTTACATGTGTGTACATATGTGTTGTTGTTCAGTCATTTTTCAGTTGTGTGGTTGCCATTTCTTTCTCCAGCTCATTTCACAGATGAGGAACTGAGGGCAAACAGGGTTAAGTGACTTGCCCAGGTTTCATGCAGCTAGTAAGTGTCTGAGGCTAGATGTAAACTCACTAAGATGAGTCCTCCTGACTCCAGGCCCAGGCTCTGTCCACTATTCACCTAGATGCCCATTTGTCACTGAGTAGGTGCTTAATAAATATTTGCTAATTGATAATTGTTTAAACCAATTATCTGCATAGATAATAAATAATAATAATCAGATAATAAATCTGAGACCAGATTTGAACTCAGAAAGATGAGTCTTCCTGGGCAGGCCCTGCACTCTATCCAACGTGCCTCCTAGCTGCCCCATACATATGTGATGGTAGGTGTTTCAATTTATTAAACATTTCCGCTGTCTTCACCAAATGAAAATATGTCAGTTATAAATGTGCAATTTAATGTCAGCTACCATTAAAATAAAAATATCATTGTTTTATTTTTTGTTTTTGTTTTAGGTTTTTTTTGGGGGGGGAGTTGACCAATGGGGGTTAAGTGACTTGCCCAGGGTCACACAGCTAGTAAGTGTCATATGTCTGAGAGCAGATTTGAACTCAGGTCCTCCTGAATCCAGGGTCAGTGCTCTATCCACTGTGCAACTTAGCTGCCCTTTTTTGTTTTGTTTTGGGTTTTTTAAAAAAAATCACTGTTTTAAAAATACAAATATTTAAGCAAAACCAAACTGTCAGATCATAATACTTATATTTTCAAAGTTCTTTCTCCAATTATCTTTATAAGACATGAAAAATAGCAAATGGCAGAAGACTTTCCTACCACTAGACCTTTTTTCTTTACTTCAAAACAGCACCAGTGTTATCTTTCTTAAAATAAAAGCATGTAGAGGCAATGTCCTATACCACTTAAACTTTTGAGTGGTTTTTCCCCTTCAGCTGAGACTCCCTCTAAATTCTGAGTTTGGTAACTTTCAGTGAATGTATCTACCCAAGAATAAAATAAGATAATAACTACATAACATTTGTGAGTGACAAAAATGAGGCTGGAGTAAAATTTTGGTGCTTCCCCCCATCCCAATTGTCTTTTTTATTATTAATATATTGATTTTAATATGGTCCATATCCTCAGTGTCCTATAGCTGCTTCTATACAATGTCAAGTGATTGTGGTTTGCCATGTGATAATGGTCTTTTAAAAGTCTTTGAGGTTTTCCTATTTAATGAGATAGCCGTTTTCTCAATGTAGGCGTCTGTGCCATAAGACCAGCCAGTCAAGCATGGTAGATAGATCTATCCTGGTTTTCTTCTTACCTAATTCCCCTTACATGATTATTCGCTTTTGACCGTTCATCCTTTCTATACTTTTTCCCCTTTCAGTATTATCTATGCTCATGACTTCAATGATCCCTTCTATGAAAATGATTCATAACTTTATAGGGTCATAGAATTAAGAGATAAACAGAATGTTAGAGAGCATCTAGCCCATGGGGTTCTTAAACTGGGGTCCACAGACCCTTCCCCAAGGCATGCCACAGTAGATCTCAGGGAGCCTATAAATTTAGATGAGAAGAAAATGACATCTTTCTTTTTCTTTCTTGGAAGGAAATCAGGGTTAAGTGACTTACTCAAGGTCACACAGCTAGTCCTCCTGACTCCAAGACCAGTGCTTTATGCATTGTGCCACCTAGCTGCCCCTTCTGTCTTTATTTCAATAAAATTGGTTTCCTTTGTAATCCTATTTTTTGTATTTTAAAACATCATTCTGAGAAAGAGTCCACAAGCTTCACCAGACTGCCAAACAAGTCCATGACACAATAAAGGTTGAAAACCTTAAGAATCTAGCGAAACCTTAAGTTTTATAATGACAATATAGTGATACAGTATGTGTGTTGTATATATGTGTGTGTATAGATATATATTTCACACATATGTCTATATGTGTGTATGTATAAATATATAAATGTATAAGTGTCATGCTCTATACACAGTGATACTTATACATCTATATATTTATATATATACACATATAGATGTGTATAATATATACATATAGAGTGATACTTATAACATCTACATATTTATATATATACATATAGATGTGTATATAATATATATAAAGTGATACATACATATCTATTTTATAGATATAGATATACAGATACATATAAATATGAGAGAGAGAGAGAGAGAGAGAGAGAGAAAGAGAGAGAGAGAGAGAGAGAGAGAGCGTGCGGACCAGAGTTCTAGTTAGTAGGCAGCAGTGGAATCCCAATTCTGACCCTTACCAGTTGTGTAACCATCTTTTCTGGGCCTGTTTCTTCCTATGTAAAATGGAGATAATACTAATACTTGAAATAGCTAACTCACAGAGCTGTTGTGAGGAAAGTACTTTGGAACCCTGAAAGTGCTACAGAAATGCCAACTATTACAGAATATCTACACCAGCCCATAGCTGAACAGAAATGCCTCTAAATTGTCCCTGATAAGTGGTTACTCAGGCTTTTCTTGAATACCATCCCCTTGCCCTGAGATATGGAATTCATACACTCTTCAGGCAGCCAAGGCCACTTTTAAAATTGCTGTAATTATTGGGCATTTCTTCTCACTTCAAGCCAAAATGCTACTCTGTCATCCATTGCTTCTGAATTTGCCCTCTTCCACTGTAGAATTGTTACTAAAAAGAGTTAAAGTCACTCAGAATCACCCTGTAAAGCCTGTTCTATATAACAGAGATTGGTGGTTTCATATATAATCTCCTTTTCTACAATGTATATGGAAATGCTCACTTATTTAGTTTTTTAAAAGGAAAAAGAAAAGAACTACCTAGAAAAATGTCATCAATATTTTTAAAGACTTGGAAATTCTTGGTTATAGGCATGTTTAGTCAGTCCACTAGCATTTATTAAGTACCAACTATGTGCTGGTAGTTTTTTTTCTTATATCATTCTGGTTAAAAAGCATGGTCACTGAATTCCATTATGCTTTCCTAAGGAGTTGCATTTTTCTGCATTTAAAGGTAACTGCAGAAAGTAAGTCATTTTTAAATTAAAATACCACTTAAACTTTTGAGTGTTTTTTTTCTCCCTTGAATAAGACTCCCTCTAAATTCTGAATTTAGTAACTTTCAGTGAATGTACCTACCTAAGAATAAAAAGGCAATAGCTACTGAATACTTGTAAGTGACAAAAATGAGGCTGGACTAAATTTTTGATGCTTCCCCTTCTTCCCCAAATTGTCTTTTTTATTATTACTGTATTGATTTTCATATTGGCTATATGTTCAAAAATAAGTCATTTTTGAAAGGAAAAATATGGATCACAGGCTTACAGCTTTAAAACTGGAAGAGACTTTAGAGAGTTGATCTAATTTCACAGGTGAAGAAATAAGGTCTGCAGAGGTTAAATCACTGGCTACAGTAAGCAAATGTCTCAGACAAATCCAGGACTCTGACATCTTCTAATGAAGGGTGGCCACTAAGACATAATTGTAGGGTTTGATACAAATCAAATTGGAGGGGGGTAGAAACAAGACCTCTATTATATGTTGCTGTAAATAGTGTTGACTAAATAACTATGTCTTTTTTTTTTTAAGGTCAAATTAACAAATTCACAAGGAAAGGACTTCTGCGGTGGTGTTATAGTACAGGAAAATTTTGTGTTGACTACAGCAAAATGTTCACTCCTACATGGAAACATCAGTGTGAAGCTAAGTGAGTAATTATTACTCTTACCTCATCACTTTTTACAAGTGTTCGTTGAAAGTAAAATTTTTGAATAAAATTAATTTGAAGTAACAAAATCTCTATAATCTCAAGGCAAATAATTTTTAAAGGCGCAATGAAGTGGGAATGATGCTTCCAGACTTAAAATTATACTATATTGTAGCAATCATCAAAATTATTTATTACTGATTGAAAAAATAGAAAAGTAGACAAATGGAAGAGATCAGATAAGCAAGAATCAGAAATAATTGAACTCAAGAAGCTAATGATGGATAAATTCAAGAACATAAATTACTTGGGGAAAAAATCCCTACTTAAAAAGAATTACTGGGAAAACTGAGGCTGTTTGACAGAAACAAAGTTTAGACCAACAACTTAGACCACAATAAACTAAAAATGGAGATACAACTTGATTATCTTTATGACATAAACTATAAAAAAAATAGGGAGTGAAATTGATTACCTTTCACAATTCTGGCTAGGGCAGAATTCTTTAATTTACATTTACTTTATTGTTGGGAACTAGAATATTCTTTCACATGGATATTGATAGCTTCTATTTCTTTATTTGAGAACTGATTTTTCATATCCTTTGAAATGTCTGTTAGGGGGCAGCTAGGTAGCGCAGTGGATAGAGTACTGGCCCTGAAGTCAGGAGGACCTGAGTTCAAATTTGACCTCAGACCAAACACATGACGCTTCCTGGCTATGTGACCCTGGCAAGTCACTTAACCCCAATTGCCTTAAAAAAAAGTCTGTTAGGGAATGGATTACATATTTATATTAATTCCTTATATCTTAGATATCATACTTTTACCAGAGCTTTTCTGTGGGATTGCTTTTTCCACTTTACTGCTTCTCTTTTAATTCTAAGCACTTACATGAGAAAAAAATATCACAAACAATAACTCTGATAAAGATCTGATATCTAAGAGACATAGGAATTTATATAAATATAAAAGAAGAGTCATCCCCTAATAGATGTGTCAAAGGATAAGAAATAAACAAGGGACAGATTGATTTTAGTTGTGTAAAAGCTTTTCAAGTTTATTTTCTCTAATAACCTCTATCCCTTCTTTAGTTAATATTCTCAATCACAGTTGTGAAAGTTATTGCCATCGCTTCTCTAACTTTATAAAAAAGAAATATAACCTTTTATGTTTGTCACATATCTATTCGAAGATATATGGTATAAGATATTGGTGTGACCCTAATTTCTACCAGGATACTTTCCAATTTTTTCAACAATTTTTGTTGAACATGGAGTCCAGTAATTGGTATCTTGGGCTATATGGAATACCTTGATCCTGTTAGTTTCTTCTGGGTCTTGTTTACTTAATATGTTCCATTGATCAAGTATTTTACTTTTTAGCCCACCAAATATCTTTGATGATTATTTCATCATAGTAGAGATTAAGATTTAGTCGTGCTAGGCTAGAATTATTTTTTTCTTTTTTAATAGTATTTACTTTTTTCCAATTACATGTAAAGACATTTTTAACATTCATTTAAAAATTTTTTTTGAGTTCCACATTTTCTACCTTCCTCCCTCACCACCCTGCTCTCTAAGATGATAAGCAATTTGATATAGGTTATATATGTGCAATCATGTAAAACCTATTTCCATATTAGTCATGTTGTGAAAGAAGGAAACAGGCCAAAAGGAAACACACACACACACACACACACACACACACAAAGTGAAAATAGTATGCTTTGATTGGCATTCAGACTCCATTAGTCTGGTGGCATTTTTCATCATGAGTCCTTTGGAATGGTCTTAGATCATTGTATTGCTGAGAATAACTAAGTCATTCATCGATGATCATTGTACAGTGTTGCTGTTACTGTGTACAATGTTCTCCTGGTTCTGCTCACTTCAATCAGCATCAGTTCATGTAAGTCTTCCCAAGCTTTTTCTGAAATCCACCTGCTCATCATTTCTTATGGAATAATTCATTACATTCATATACCACAACTTGCTCAGCCATTTCCCAACTGATGGACATACCCTCAATTTCCAATTCTTTGCCGACACAATTTATAGAGCTGCTATAAATAAATTTGTACATGTGAGTCCTTTTCTCTTTTTTATGATCTCTTTAGGATACAGACCTAGTAATGGTATTGCTGGATCAAAGGGTATGCAGTTTCATAGCCCTTTAGGCATAGTTCCACATTGTTCTCCAGAATGATTGGATCAGTTCACAATTCCATCAATAGTTCATTAGTGTCCCAATTTTCCCATATCCCCTCCAACATTTGCAATTTCCTTTTCTGTCATATTAGCCAATCTGATAGGTATGAGGTGGTAGCTCAGGGATGTTTTAATTTGCATTTCTAATCAATAATGATTTAGAGCATTTTGTCATATGACTATAGATAGATTTCTTCATCTGAAAATGCCTGTTCATCTCCTTTGACCATTTATCAATCAGGGGATGACTTGTAGTCTTATAAATTTGACTCACTTCTCTATATAGTTGAAAAATGAAGCTAAAATTCTTAACGAAATTAATTACATGAAGAAAACCAATACAAGTAGGATAAGAGGGGAAACTGTTGAATGGGATATAAATCTTTGCCTCAAATATCTCAGAGGAGTGTGAAATTTGTGATATATATAGGGAACTAACATAAACATCTAGGATCATTCTTTAGTAGTTAAGTGGTCAAAGAATATGTGTAAATAATTTTCAAAAGAATTGCAAGTGATTAAAAACTACATGAAAGTTTGCTCTAAATCACTAATAATAAGAGAAATTAAAATCAAAACAACTCTGAGGTATTACCCCACACCTGGCAAATTGGTAAAGTTGACAAATGATGGATAAAGGCAATGTGAAGGGGCTGCACAAAAATAGGTCACTATACCATTGGTGGAGGTCTGAATTAGTCTAACAATTCTGGAAAACAATTTAGAATTATATTTAAAAAGTGGCTAAAATGCCCTATCCTTTGACCCAGAAATTCTACCAACACCTTATTATGTTCCAGGCACTGTTCTAAGAGGTGGGGATATAAAAGCAATCCCTGTTCTCAAGCAGTTTACATTCTAATAGGGGAAGACAATACATAAAAGGAAGCTGAGAAGCAAGGGAGGGTACCTGGTACTTGGAAGGGGGCATTGGAGAAAGAAGTCTTTCTTTTTTGTTTTATACATATGGAATTGCCCATTTTATTTGGTGTTCATTAAGTTCAGAATAGAGGCAGCTAGGTGGCAGAGTGGATAGAGTGCCTAGCCTAGAATCAGGAAGACTCATCTTCCTAAGTTCAAATCTGGCCTTAGACACTTACTAGCTGTGTGACCCTAGGCAAATCACTTAACTCTGTTTTTGCCTCAGTTTCCTCATCTGTAAAATGAGCACAAGAAGGAAATGGCAAACCACTCCAGTATCTTTCCCAAGAAAATCCCAAATAGGGTCATGAAGTCAGACATGACTGAAAACAACTGAACAACAAAGTTCAGAATAAAAATAAATAGAAGAGCAGAAAACTTTATAGCACCATAAAAATATGCAGTAATATAACATCATTTAACATTGTAAAACATCTCTAAGTCACTATAAAATTTTTTTGTTGAATTTTTTTCAGTTGTTAAACATTTATTTTTCCCCTCCCACTTTCCTTACCACAGAAAATAAAAATAAAAATAAAAACTTTGTGCAAATAAGCATAATCAAGCAAAACAAATTCCCCTATTAGCCATGTCCACAAATGAGTGTCTCATCTGATTAATCAGTCCATCTGTCAGGAAGTGCGTAGCATTCTTCATCACTGGTTCTTTGGCATAATGATGGATCACTGCATTGATCACAATTCTTAAGTCTTTCAAAACTGCTAATTTTTACCATGTTGGTATTATTGTATGAATTGTTCTCCAGGTTCTGCTCACCTAACTTTGCATCAGTTCATAGAAATCTGAACCATCTCTTTCATCATTTCTTACAACACAATAGTATTTCATTACATTCATATAGCATATTATTTTCCAGTATTACTCAACTGATGGGTAGCCCCTTTAATTTCCAGTTCTTTGGCACTAAAAAAAAAGAGCTGGTAGAAATATTTTTTTACAAAAAATTTTTCCTTTGAACTCTTTGGAGAATAAGCATCACTGGGTCAAAAGACATGCACAACTTAGTAACTTTTTGGAAATAGTTCCAAATTGCTTTCCAGAATGGCTAAACCAATTCACAGCTCCACCAATGGTACATTAAAGTACCTGTTTTCTTACAGCCCCATTAACATGTCATTTTCTATTTTTGTCAACTTTGCCAGTCTAATGGGTATGGCTATAGACAGAGGCAACTAGGTGCTATAGTGGATACAGTGCCGTACAGTGCTTCCTGGAATCAGGAAGCTCTGAATTCAAGTCTGGCCTCAGACACTAGCTGTGTGACCACACGCAACTTAAGCTGTTTGTCTCAGTTTCCCAAACTATAAAGTAGGGTTAATAACAGCACCTACTTCTCAAGGCTGTTGTGAGGGTCACAAGACACCACATAGTGGCCACTACACAAAAGCTTATTCTTCCCCCGTTCTCGAAAACTGCCCTTTCACCTCTTCTGACCACTTCTCAATTGGCAATTAGCTCCTATTCTTACAAATTTGAATCCTTTGGAAATGAAGTCTTTATCAGAGAAACTTGCTACAAAGTTTTTTCCCAGATAGTTTTCCTTCTAATCTTAGTCACATTTGTTTGTGCTAAAAAAAATTAACTTTATGTAACCAAGATGGTCTATTGATAATCTGCAAGATTATTTTTCTTGTTCCTCTAACTCATTTATGATGTGACTTTTTGTATCTAGGTCATAAATCCTTTTGGAGCTTATCTTTTTTTTTTTTTTTTGCTTTTAGCAATTGGGGTTAAGTGACTTGCCCAGGGTCACACAGCTAGTAAATGTCAAATGTTTGGTCTGAGGCCGGATTTGAACTCAGGTCCTCCTGACTTCAGGGCCAGTGCCACCTAGCTGCCCCCTAGAGCTTATCTTGGTAAATGATGTGGGGTGTCGGTTATAAAACTTATCTCTACTTATCATAGAAGCAGTGGTCCAAGAGGGCCCTAAAATTGAGGCCTCCAGGTGGCTTGAATCAGAGTCAGACTGACAGGAAATGAGTATAAAAAGCAGAACTACTCTCAGATACTCAGAGAAGGCTGAATATCTCTGTATGGGATGTTGTCAAACATACCTGCAGTCACTAAATGATGGATTCTGGAGGGGTTCAATGATGAAGCCACATGAGTGTTAGAGCTGGAATAAAAGGACCTGGATTAAGATTGTGATTCAACCAAAAATGAATGTTGTGGAATTTTAAAGAACAAATGTGGTTAGACAGAAGAGATATGAGAAGATCCTCCCACCTTTGCAGCGGTGGAAAGCGCAAGAATTGTACATTATCTATCTATCTATCTATCTATTCTCAGGATTTTTCAATGTATTAATCAGTTATTCTGATTTTTTTTCCACTTCTTTTTCTTGTCTTAAAAAAATACTACTTGTTATATGGGATGACTCTTAGAAGGAGGAAGAAGGATACTGGGGAAAACTGATGATAAAAAAAACAACTCATCAATAAAAACTAATTTAAAAAAAGGTTTGGGGCAGCTAGGTGGCACAGTGGATAGATCACTGGCCCTGAAGTCAGGAGGACCTGAGTTCAAATCCGGCCTCAGACCAAACACTTGACGCTTACTAGCTGTGTGACTCTGGGCAAGACACTTAACCCCAGTTGCCTACCAAAAAAAAAAAAAGGAAAAGAAAGAAAGAAAGAAAAGGAAAAAGAAAAAAGGTTCACTGCTGCTTATCACATGTGTAACATTAGGCATGTCACTTCATTTCTCTTGACCTCAGTTTCCTCATCTATAAAAAAAAGGAGATGGGACCAGATGTCCCCTGAGGTCTCTCTCAGCTCTGAATCTGTGACCCTTAAAAAGATAAAAAAAAAAATCAAATGACATCAAAAAGTTATTTTTGAACCCTCGATTTTCAGGTTATCATGGGCTTGTTCAGATTTTGATTTTTCCTTCTCCCAACTACCTGTTAAACATTTCATCACCTCAAAAATGAATTTCTCAAGGAGGGGATGAAATTGTCAAGTCTTATTTACTTTTAATTCTGATTGGGGATGAAGGGAGGGGAGAGAAGAGTAACAAAATGAAAACTGGGCTTTTGTTAAATCATCATAGACCTCTATCCTATCACCATGTATAAATAGGTGCTGCAGGGATTACTGACTCACTATCCATATGTAGTCTCTGGGTACTGGGCTATTGAAGCTAGGGTCATATAAGAAATAACAATTGTTTGTGATTGAATTCCCTTAACTTTGGAAATTTTTAATACTTTTCTAAAATGACCTGTAATTGTGTCATTACTAAATAGGTGAAGATGGTACACCAGGAGCCCCACTGGAGATTAAAATAAAGAACAAGCACGTGCATATGAGATATGATCAAGAAATGAAGCAGAATGACCTAGCACTGCTAGAGCTTAATGAGCCCATTCAATGTGGCAGCAATGGACTTCCCATCTGTATCCCTGAAAAGGATTTTGCAGAACACATTTTGATTCCAGAGAAAATGAACGTTGTCAGTGGCTGGACATTCAATGGAACAGAACTAGGTGATTCGTTGATTGACTTGCCTAGTGTATATTTTGAGAATGAAAAATGTGAAGAAATACTCAATGTGACAGTGACAACAAGGCTATTTTGTGAGAAAAGCAAAGCAACAGTGGACTGGCAGTTGGTAGAGGGAAGTATTGTCATGGCTGAACATAAAGGAACTTGGTTTTTGATTGGTATTATGGTCTCTCTACCAACTGAAAAGCTGGGACCACTATATCTTTTCACCAAGATTTCAAGATATTCAATGTGGTTTGAGCAAATAATGCAATAATGGAAAAGCAACTGAATAGAAAGAATAAACTCTATGGAAAATACCCAATTATAACTGTGATCCTGAGTTGATCATAAATTGGCAATATTGCTACAGAATTTTACACTTGGAATACCCTTCTCCTCCCCCAAACCTCATTTCTTTCTGGTGCCCATTCTTTATAGCTCAGCTAACATGCCAGATCTAGTTTAAAAAAAAAAAAAGAAACCAACAACCCCTTCCATCCAATCAGAAATTATCTTTCTTCAGATCTCACCCTCCAAGAGGGCAAGAAATGTGTCTAATGGATGTTTTTATCTCCCCCAATGCCTAATAACATGCTTTCTAGAAATTAAAAAATTTGATGAACTGAACTGGCAGAGATACTGTGAAACAGATCTGGTAGAAAGCTGTGTGATATTTATTTCTTTTTACTTTGCTTTATAATTCATATGAGATGAAATTAAATTCTTTTAAAACTAGTAAAATTCAGGTATCCTCTAAAATGAAATGTTTACTAATAACTACACATACTAAAAAGATATAAACAGTATTAATCAAAGTACGTTTTTAAAAAGTGCCTTGTTTCAAATCCATAAATAGAAGAATAAAGTGTACTTTTTGTCTTGCATTAAAGTCTGACAATCATGCTTCACTGTGTGGCATAGAGGTGATCCTGGGTACTCAAAAGCTATGTCAGTGGAATAGAAGCTGATCAGTTCCCACCAAACCAGAAAATCTTTTAAGGGCGAGCTTGGCAATAGACTACATGTCTATTATCAGAGGAACGCGCTAGCTAAATTTTAAGTGGGAGGGACTTATTACCAAAAGCTGTTTAATAAGTCATGCTTGTTTTTTTAACCAAGCTGCAGCAACTTTTGAAACTAAAGTGTAGAAGGGCCATGATTAATGATCTGTATTGGTGGGGGATTGCCCCCACCAATAAAATCATGGATCTGTAAAGTGTGAAATCAAGTGTACATGTATATGACACGAGAGGTAGTACGGGGAATTGGATGTGGAGCCTGCCTCAAAGCCAAGAAGGTTTTGAGTCCTATTTTTGACCATATTGACTGTGTGACTCTAAGTCACTGTATCTCTCAATGTCCTAGGAAACTCTCTAAGACTGTAATTTGCAGAGAAGATACAGATCTACATTGACCAAAGAATTTCCTCACCCAAAATTCCTCTACACCAGAGAAATCCCAATCGTATCCCATGCCTGTAGATAATAAAGTCAATCAATGGAAAGCAAAGATAAATCTAATTATGAAAAAACTGATAATAAAAATGGATAACATGTTTATAGCATGTTATTGTTTGCAAAGAACTTTACATATATTATCTTGCTTGATTGCCAGTGAAGTAGTTGCTTTATCCTGATTTTATAGATGGGAAACTGAGTATTAGAGAGGTTAAGTGACTTGCCCACCATCGTGCAGCTAATGTGAGGTCAGGTCTTCTTGATGCTAGGTTTTCTGCTCAATCCACTGCACCAGAGATGTCAAACAGGAAGCCTATGATACTCCCACATGCACACAGATTAAAATGTAACTGGGAAATATTTAACAAAATAAAAATACAATAGAACATAGATCACGTGAATATGTGGTTTTCTAAGTCAATATGCACCCATGGGGATCTTTATGTATGGTTTAATGGTCTCAAGTTCTATTAGTCGACATCTTTGCTCTATGCCATCTGACTGCCTCATACCAGAAAAGAGCAGAAATCAATCATGGGAACTGAGAGTTAATTCAGTCTCTCTGGGTATAATATAATCAAAATGGAACTGAGTTTGACACATACAAAAATGAGTGCTAATTTTGGAACTGAGAAGAGGCAATAAGGTAATTTTTACACCTTAAAAAAGCATGTTCATCCAGAGACCCTGGATAAGATCGGAACTCTGAATAGTGATTCAAGGTGGGAGAAAATGAATATCGAATGGGGATAAAGAAGTTATTTTTAAAAAGACGGGTCAGAAAGTACTGGGGAGGGGTGGCAATGGATCAAAAAGAAAATATTTGAGCATCTTTTAGAATTTTCACCCCTCTATCTTTTCTCTTTCCTTCTCTTTTTTCTCCTCTCCTCTTGTCTCTTCTTGCCTACGTCCTCCCTTTATTTCCTTTTCTGGGGAGGACCCAAGGAAGCCACTGAGTAAGGTTTGACTGTCTGGCTGGAGCATGAAAGTAAAATCCTTTTTGCCATCATACCATTTTCAACACAACACATATGAGTGAATGTCCGGCCCAAACATGAAAGACCGTTATGAGACTTGTCTTCAGTACAGTAGAGTACAGTAGAAAGAGCCCTGGGCATGGAACCAGAGGTCCTGCATTCAAATTCTGGTTCTGACACTTAATATGTGACAGCCTGGGAGTGGAGAGATTCACTTACATGTGAACTTGGGCCAAAATACACCTATACTTCTAATTGTATGCAGTTTGTACAATGATCTCTCCACGCACCACAGCAGTTTTTGTATTCTAAGTGGCCATGTATTCTAGTAATAGTAATAGCTAGCATTTAAATAGTGCTTTAAATTTGCAAAGCAATTGACAAATATTTTACCCTCACAACACAAGGAGGTGGGCGCTATTCTATTCCCCCCCCTTTTTTAAACAGATGAGGAAACTGAGGCAGACAAAGGCTAATTCTACATTAAGTGGGTCACGCAATCAGTATCAGAGGACAGATTTGAAATCGGGTATTTTCAGACAACAGGTGATAGGGGCAGGGGAAGGCTATCCAAATGGCAGTGGAACTAGCCAAGGACTTTTTTTTCAGAGTTACCTCAGGCTTCATTTTGTCAAGTTTAAGAACTGGTATCGCTTCATTCTGATCTTTCCATTATGTAGACCAAGGGAAGTGCTATAAAAGCTGAGTGGTATTGTATCTTTGTTGTACATCTTTGCTATGCAAGAGCTAAATCAATCTCCTTTAACTATTCAATGATTTATGAGTGCCTTATTTCATCCCCTAAATCAAGCCTGAACAGGATGTAAGCCCTTCTCTAGGGGGTAAGGAAAAAGGAATTAAGAAAAGGTTTGTGAAGGGAGGATTTGGAAGGATTGTGTCAGGTGGGAAGGAGAGAGAAAAGATCTTGCCAGAATTCAGTTTAGGAGGTAGATTGAATACCACTGGGTAGCTGGCTTCCTTTGGCTTTGCCAGGTTAATGTGGGCAATAAATCTTCCTGAGATGCAAAGGTCTTTTTCTTCACTATCCTGTGGCCCCAAAGCTTTATGGGAGGGGGTAGCAATAAGGGAGAGGGAAGCCACTGCTGGAGCATGAGGACCTAGGGCTAACAAAAGTATATTTATAAAATAGCAATATAAAGGAGAAATTATTCTGTATACTTGTAGTAGTACTTTAAGGGTAGAAAAGTATTTTCCTTCTTAAGTTTTCTTAGGCTACAGAAAAAGAAAGGAGAGGTATATAAGTGAATGTCACTGAATTATTTATCAGTGAAATTATCTGGGAATAAATTAAGTATGACTGATGAAAAAGTGTTAACTTCTATCTTAATTTATTAGCTATGGGCAATTCCATAGCTTTCTGGGACTCATTTTATTGTGAAAATATTTGAGTTGCTCTAAGCCAGCTCTAAACACATACAACTCATACGTATTTACAAAACTTAAAATATTTCTTTCCTGAGAGGCAATATTGACTAAAAGAAAAGAAGACTATCACATGGAAGTGTTTCATGCCTTAAACTATTTAAACACATGGTTTTAGTTGAAACAAAATGTAATCAAAAGAACAAGAACTGATATGCTAATACTTACTCCCTACTTTTAAAAATTAGTCTTAGTCTTTAGTTTCTTATCAGTTATGGTTAACAGGTACAAATAGGCCCATTTACAAACTAGTAAGAGAACAACTTTTTTTTTTCCAGAACTTAAAAAGTCTAAAAACAGTGAGTTAATTTAATAAAAGCATTTTCTAAAGAACACACAAAATATCTTTTTTTAATCCACTTTATATTTTATCCTCTGAAACACTTCTCCTCTCCTAGCCCAATTTGGGTAGTCCCATCTGCTGATTTTTAGAGGGATGTGCCCAAATATATGGTGGTGGGTTGTTGTCCTTTGTGCTCAACAAGGACCAAAGTAACCTTACTATGTCAGGGTCAAGGTACAGTGAGTCTGACTGTGGCTGATCAGAAAACTATGAGCTTGGTAGGCTTTACCACTGGTTGGGCACAAATCATCCTTATGAACATTTGGAGTAGAGAGGTCTCTAATTCTGTGCATCTACTGTGTGCAATTCTGCTTCGTTCATAGAGCATAGTGCCTTTTTTGATGCAGGCACACCACGCTGGGTGATCCTGTGCCAGTATCACCTATGTCTCACAATTGATTCTCAAATTCTTCAGAGATCTGCAAGTGTCCTTGCATTACTTTTCTGACTTTCATGTGAGTGCTTCCCTTGTGAATTCTCTGTAAAAGAATTTTAGGCAGAAGTACATTTGGCATTTAATGTATGGCTAGCCCATCAGAACTGCACTGTCTCTGAATGCTTGGCAGGTCAGTTCTAGAAAGGACCTCAGGTCTGGTACCTTATCCTGCCAGGTGATCTTCAGAATCTTCCTAAGCCAATTCAAATGGAAGCGATTCAGTTTCCTGGCATGGCGCTGGTACACTGTCCAGGTTTCACAGGCATACAATAATGAGGTCAGCATAATAGTTAGGTAGCCTAATACCTCTTCTCTCCCATACTTTCCTTTGGAGTCTCCCAAACATTGAGCTAGCTCTGGTAATGTGTGTGTCAACCGTATCTATATGTCCATTCCTGGAAAGAATACTGCCAAGGTGGATGAACTTTTATCCACAGAATTCAAAATTTCTCCATTTGCTGTAACTGATGGTTCCCCATATGGATGGTGTGGTGCTGGTTGGTGGAGAACCTGTTTTCTTGGTGTTGTCAGCCAAAATTAGCACAAAAAGCAGAAAATCAATATATACCCTGTTGCATCTCACCCTCACAGGCTACACTGAATGCACAATCACCTACAAACAAAAAGTTCACACCAACTCTCTCTCCACTTTAGTCTTGGCTTGTAGCCTTTTGAAGTTAAATAACTTACTGTCAGTGTGGTAGTTGACCTTGATGATGTTTTCAACCTTGTTGAAGGCATCTGACAACACCACTGAAAACATCATGCTAAAAACATGGGAGCAAGCACATAGCCCCCGCTTCACTCCACTGGTGGCTGAAAAAGCATGAAAGTATCATCCATGATTCATGCAAGCACGCCATCATGAAATTGGTGCATGATTCTGATGAACTTCTCCGGGCAACCAAATTTTGCCATGATTTTCCATAAGTCCTCACAACTGACAGTACCAAAGGCCTTGGTCAGATGGATAAATGTTATGTACTCCTCTGTTTCATTCCTGGCATTTCTCCTAGAGTTGTCAAGCATCAAACATTATATCAACTGTTCTTGGCCCTTTCTGAAGCCCCACTTGCTAGATAACCATCTTCCAGGTGAAAGATCAGCCTATTAAGGACTCTGGCAAGAGTCTTGCCAGCAATGACTAAGAGAGAGACGCTTCCCTTCCCCCCTCCCCCCCATGATTATCACAGGACAACCTATTTCCCTTTTCTTTATAAAGATGGATAATGGTGACATCTTCGAACTCCTGGCAGATAACCTCCTCTTGCCATATAACCTGGAAGATTTCAGTTAGCTTTTATATGAGCAGTGGACCCCCTGACTTGTAAATCTCAGCTGGAATAGCAGCAGCACCAGGTGCTTTACCATACAAGAGGAGTCTAATGGCATTCAAAACCTCTTCACCAGTTGGAAGTCCAGCTAGAGAGGAACTGAATTCAACCTGAGGTAAACAGTCAATGGCTTCAGCACTGGTTGATGATGGTCTGCTGAGAATGCTATGGAAGCGTTCAGCCCATCTCTCCAGGATCATGTCCTTAACACTAATCAGTGTGGCTCCATCACCATTGAGTAGCTGAGATGCACTCTAGGTCTTTGGCCCATAGATAGCATTCAGGGTGTCGTAAAAGTACTTTGTATTGTTACTATTAGTGCAAAACTGAATTTCATCTACCTTCTTACTGAGCTAAGAATCCTATACCTCTCTAAGCTTCACTTGCATTTTACTTTCGATGGAATTACATGTTACCTTCTTAGAGATGGATGAACTATCCTGCTTGTAAACCATGTGGAGTTCTTGGTTTTTGTTTAGCAGCTTCTGAACTCCCCTATTATTTTCATCAAAACAATCTTGATTTCTGCAAGTGTTCTGGCCCAGATGAGTAATGAAGTGCTGTACACCAAATCCCTGAAAGCTGCAAACTTCTTTTCTTCTCTAGTATTGCCAACTGTTATGTTGGCTCAGCTTTCTCTATGTTAGCAATAAACTCTTCATGCATGGAGAAGTGCTCTAATTAGTTGGCATTAAGTCTTTTGGCCATTTTGCCTTTGTTGAAGGCAGAAGTCTATGATCTGTCCAGCACTTTGTGCCACACATCACCTCCACCACTCTCACATCCAGTGTGTCTTTTCTTCTTACAATGACAACCTATTAAATGCCAATGTTTGCTGAGAGGGCACATTCATGT